GTTTGTAAATATTTCCCCCTTCCCAGGTGCGGTAACTTATTTTAGATTGTACCTATAATGGTCCTAATATATTTTTTACATTGTGTTGTTATTATTTATCATAAGATTGTGACATGATATATCAGGCTTTTTTTTTTTACAGAGCAAGAACGGTGGTAACATCCGGAAAGAAACGTCATGAATTTACAATTATTTTATTTATCTCACAAATTTATGACATTTATGGTTTTTTTCCAGGTGATTTTTGTAGATTTCTTCTTCAAATTTGAATTATTTTCACTCTAAATATTCTGCCCTTTCCAGTTCTGTAACTTATTTTTAGTTGTACCTACAAGGCCAAAGACATCGTCATACAGGCTAGCTGTCTAAACGGCTCTTATTGTTAGCTTCATCTTGATCAAATACAAAATGAATTTCTCCCAGCAGAAAAGAGTGTAAAAAGAAGGAGTGGAACAAACTACTCGAGATCGCAGAATAGACGCTTCCATTGTCCTCTTTCTCCTCAGCTGGAAAACATCGGGAACTTTGTGCGTGCGATCACAGAATACGGCCTGAGGCCGGACGACATCTTTGAAGCCAACGATCTGTTCGAGAACACCAACTACACTCAGGTCCAGAGCACTCTGCTGGCTCTGACAGGCATGGTGAGGACACACACACACACACACACACACACACACACACACACACACACACACACACACACACACACACACACACACACACACACACACACACACACACACACACACACATACACACACACACCGACATACACACACACACACAAACACCTGTATTTTGTATTTGCTTTGTACACATGCTGCTGTAGCAAAAGTATTTAATATATCAATAAAGTATATCAAATGTAATCTCTTAAATAAGCTGCATTTTTAACAAATATATAAAAGTATTTCTAAAGCTTTTGTACGATTTAATTTGTTTAAAAAAATACAATGTTTTTTTTTTTTTATTATAATTTGAAGGTTTATAAAAGTTATTATAAAGACCAGACAGAGTTAGCATCTTATACCTTTGTATTGCATAGTACTACAAGCGCTGTCAGTAGAATAATAAAACCAAAATATAAAATGCTCTGTTTCCATCGTTTCCCTCTCTGTGTCTCTCAGGCCAAGTCCAAAGGCTTCCACTCTAAATATGATTTAGGAGTGAAGTACGCAGAGAAGCACCTGCGCCGCTTCGCTCCGGAGATACTGAAGGAGGGACGCAACGTCATCGGCCTGCAGGTCAGAGACAAGAGAGAACATTCAGTCATGTAGCCTACTGCAGTATTAGCATATTGGGAGGACAAAGTGTTAGAAAGATATCTCTCGTCCCCGGCTTGAGCTTCAATCTCAGGATCCATGTATCTGTGATCCTCTCCAGAATGGAAGTCATCACATACAGAGCATCACCTAGTTCCTGAGCAGTGTCCTTCACATGCTGATATCCAAGAGAGGGAGTTACACAGTGACAAGATGGAGGAATAGAAAGCAGTATTCAATGTTTACTTCAGATTAGCTCCACGTCAGAAATGAGCATGCTTGTCATATGTCTCTCTCCATAGAGGCTGAATCATCATGTGAATCACATAGCTATCATATGCCTCAAACAGTCCTGATGCTCTTCTAGGTAATCACACATCCTGTCATGTTCACAGCTACAGTTGGGATACCTTTGTTATCATGTTACTCTCATATTGGAAGAGAACATTCAGTATTTTCCCAACACAAAGCAATGTAAAAGTGTTCCTTTGGACTCTGGATGATTGTGTCGACAACCAAACATCAAACAATAAATTGAGAAAACAAATTTGAAGGTTAATCCAATATGAATATAACAATGTCTTCATACCAACATTTCATGTACTTTATCTTGCTGTTTCTCAGATGGGCACCAACAAGCTGGCCAGTCAGAAAGGCATGACGTCTTACGGCACACGGCGCCATCTGTACGACTCCAAGATGGCGATGGAAAGTCCTCTCGACCAATCAACAATCAGCCTGCAGATGGGCACCAACAAGGGGGCCAGCCAGGTGAGGATGGGGACTGATGTTTTTATGTTAGATCGATTTTTGTTCTTTCGATTCTCTGAATACACATTATCCTGCACAACCAAGGCCAAAATGATAATCACCATTATTTTGATTAAGATTAAAATCATGATTATATCACAATTAATAATTTCTCAAATCACGTTTACATCGCCTGTCTTACCAAACAATCCTCCATCTTTCTCTTTCTCTCCTCCAGGCTGGTATGACGGCTCCGGGCACACGGAGGCACATCTTTGACAAGAAGCTGGATCTGGAGTCCTGTGACAGCTCCACCATCTCGCTGCAGATGGGCACCAACAAGGTGGCGTCGCAGCAGGGCATGACGTCCTACGGTCTGCCGCGCCAAGTCTACGACAACAAGTACTGCACCAACCCCACCGAGGCCCACAACAACAACAACGGGGGGGACGAGTTTGACGGCTACCAGTACGACGACTAAAAGAAAACACACCCTAAAAACCTACTCCCTCCCTACGCTTACCGTCAGACGACCATAAAACACGACTCTTTTGTCTCTGTGTCGAAGCAAACTGACTGTTATTTAACACTGATTGACGTTGAACCTTGTCCCCCTAAAGCTTTATGAATTTGTCTTTCCTGAGTTAAAGAAAAAATAGCGTTTGCACTGACCCTTACGTCAAAGATATCCGTATCTATGAGGATTTGTATTACCCCAAAACAAAAAAACAAGCCACACTCAGATTTGTGCTATTTATATTTTTTGCTTTTTTACTTGCTTTGTAAGAGTGGTGCAGGAATGAGTCCTAAAACCCGGATGTGAGTTAGCATTTCAGCACTTTCACATTTTGTTCGACGACATCAAACATGTCAGTAAACACCCCACTGGTGAATGTCACAAAGTGTTTTAAATACAGTTAAATTTGTGACTAAATGAGACAAATAAACGTCATCGGGTCCAACGTTAGCCGCCTTTAGCTTAGCGGTGGCGACGTGAAGTCATGTGACCGTGCTGTAGTTCCTTTATAGCCCAACATTAGCCGCCTTTAGCTTAGCGGTGGTAACGTGAAGTCATGTGACTGTGCTGTAGTTCCTTTATAGCCCAACATTAGCCGCCTTTAGCTTAGCGGTGGTGAAGTGAAGTCATGTGACCTTGCTGTAGTTCCTTTATAGCCCAACATTAGCCGCCTTTAGCTTAGCGGTGGTGATGTGAAGTCATGTGACTGTGCTGTAGTTCCTTTATAGTCCAACATTAGCCACCTTTAGCTTAGCGGTGGTGATGTGAAGTCATGTGACTGTGCTGTAGTTCCTTTATAGCCCAACATTAGCCACCTTTAGCTTAGCGGTGGTGACGTGAAGTCATGTGACCTTGCTGTAGTTCCTTTATAGCCCAACATTAGCTGCCTTTAGCTTAGCGGTGGGACGTGAAGTCATCTGACCTTGCTGTAGTTCCTTTATAGTCCAACATTAGCCACCTTTAGCTTAGCGGTGGTGATGTGAAGTCATGTGACTGTGCTGTAGTTCCTTTATAGCCCAACATTAGCCACCTTTAGCTTAGCGGTGGTGACGTGAAGTCATGTGACCTTGCTGTAGTTCCTTTATAGCCCAACATTAGCTGCCTTTAGCTTAGCGGTGGGACGTGAAGTCATCTGACCGTGCTGTAGTTCCTTTATAGCCTAACGTTAGCTTTTTACTTCAAAAATCCTAAAGTGTTGTCTTAATATGTGGAGGTTATCCTGCTGAACAACATAAACGATTGTTGGCTACAGATCTTATTTCCTGCCAAATCCAATAGGAAAATCCCATTGGCTTTTCATCGAGGTAGCCCTTTGCTATGCTAACTTCCTGTTCGGCCTACAAAATTCCTCATCCCTGCATCGCTCTATTCAACATTTACAAACTACCTTTCCCTACGTTTCCCAATCAAGTGTTGAGAATTCAAAGCTCCTTGAACAGGAAACAAGCGACCGAGTTGGTGCTATTGAACTTTGACCCCGTTGGAACCGAGTCCTCGTCGACATTGGAGCTCCGCTGGGATTTTTTTTACACGTTTTCGGGGTCCGCAGATTGACCTGGAGGACTCGTAGCTTCTTTTTGTTTTTCTGTCATGTTCACAGGCCTGCCAGATCACGCCTTTTTTTTTTAAACAGGGATAATTTCCATGGCTTTGTGTGCAGTTTGATAAGGGGACAATGCTTTTATAAAGTGAACGAGCAAAAGTAGGTGTTGTGAAATATAGTTTGAAGTTGGGTTAGTCACTACTAGTAGATTTTGTCCTTTTGTTTCCTCCATCTTTTACTGAATTTGCCTCCGTCAACTTTAGTGCTGTTGCTCCTTGTGCACTTTACCCAGCTTCACATTAAATTAAACAAGTACATTTGATCAGATATTGTACTTACATTTGAGGTACTTTACCTTTTATACTTCTACTACACTGCCATATAGATAGCCACATATATTCAGGGTTCTTACGGTTTAAGAAAAGTTAGATTTAAGACTTGTTTTAATGCCAATCAGAATGAAATGTACAATAATTTAGCATTTGCGATTCCACTGACTTTAATCTTATCATGCCAAGTTGTATTTTTGACTCCAATACCTAAGTTAGTTATAGTTACTTTACAAAATGAGACTTTACAATTGACGTAATTAAATAAGTTGTAAGTATAGGTAACAATATTGTCGTATTAAACTCACTATGGCAATTTTTCTTGGGCAGTATTTATACCTACTTTTTCCTGAGCAACATCTTAAAGGCAGGTCTTATAATGTGGTATTTTTCCATTAGGGTATTGCTACTTGTACTCAAGTAAAGTATCTTTAATTGCTAAGGGAATCATGCCCAATATAAAAACTGTTAACCCACCGAATGTCATGAATGTAATGTAATCGAAAAGTTTGACACTAGCGGTTTGTTCATTTTCAACACATTAGAAGTAAAAGAAAAGTGCATTTACAAAGTGACTGATAAGGCTGAGGCACTTGTGATCTAGAGTTACAACATAAAGCAGTTTAATGTGAAATATTTACATTTATTGGCTTTGAAATAGTGTCAGAAAATGTAGATTAGAGCTCTTGAATTCAGCATCAAAGTGTGCCCTCTAGTGGAGGAAACGCACATGTACACTTACTGTATTTTTTATTTATCAAACATTCCCTTTGTTCCCTTGAATGTCATTTTTAGTTCTGTCCAAAATGCTAAGTAACTTTCTAGTAACATTTCACCTTAATGTGATGACTTTGTTTCAACGTTGTTTAAATGTTACACTTTTTCTAACTTCTTGATTTTTCGACTTGTACGCGTTTCACTAAACATGACATTTGTGCAATAAAAAACACTTGAAAACAGTTTTGATTACATTTTCTCAGTCATTACCTAAAAATACACAGGAGGTAGTGTAATACAAAGTACATAATTGTGATTTATGTACTTATAAACAGATAAAAACACAAATGCTTGGTAAAGATTTGGCATTTAACGGGGTTGAAAACAAAAAAAACACAATTCTGTTTCATAAACATACTTATTACAACAACTAAAATAATAAAAATAAAGACGTGGAATGTTTTACGCTGGAGGGAATTTCAGTCATTTACATTTAAAACATACATTTTGAGTCCAGAAAAAGGGAAAAATCACGATCTAATAGTTAAAAAAACATATTTCTTCCTAATCTAATCATTGACGTATGAAAACTAAAACACAAAATGGCGTCCCTCTGTCCCAGCCAGAGGGACGTGTGATGCTCAGCCACACTGTAGCAAAATTGGCCAAACAAAGCAAAATAAAATAACGCTTCAATTGTTTGATTTTGCTACATCGTGCTAAGCTAATTAACGGACCAATCACAGGGGTGGAATGTAAAAGAGAAGGTGGGGTGAAAAGGAAATCGTGACTATTGATTGGCTGCTTCACAAGCGTCGATCCAATCACTGTAAACGTCCACTGCTTCGGAAAGATCTGAAGAGTAAACGTTAAGGATAAAGTATTTCAAAAATGTGTTTCTCTGCCTTAAACCTGACTTTCTTTATTGTCTCATTTCACAAACTTTACGATATTGTTAAAACAAAGACACCTCATGTGAACGCCCAATTGAGACAGAAGAACAACGATTTGGAAAGTCGGCAAAAGTTACTCACAATAATACAAATATCTTTACCGTGATATTACGTTGAGGCGGTTATAGTTTTACGAATCCCACCCTAGATGGATTGATGTTAATAAACTTTAATTAAATCACGTATTACACATCAATTAATTTCTCACATGTAATTTGTAATATGGTGAAGGTTGTATCTGTTAGTTGCTATCTACGTAGAGTGACTTGTATTATTTAAAAAACGTAGTTATTAGTGAAGAGCCTTGTGGTTACAGCAACATAAACGCAATGTCCAATGTGTTGAATTTTACACCCAGACATTCCTGCCCCCAATTTGAACAAACAAAACAACAAACATTTCATTTATTTAGTTGGTTATTAGTTTTTGTTTTGTTTAAGCAGCTAAGATAAGATAACACTGTATTCATCCCGAAGGAAATTGTTGTGCCAGTTACAACAATACAATAAACACAGCAGCATGATAGTAAAACTGTACACTAATGGCACGTTTCCACTGCAGGCCTAGCTCGGCCTCGCTCGGTTTGGTTAGGCCTTATTAGGCCCGGCTCACTTTAATGCTGCGCTTCCATTACAGTTTAGGAACTGGGGCAGTTACTATAGTAACGCAGTGTAGGCGGAGCCGTGACGTCATCTTCAATGAGAGCCCCAGAAAAACAACATCAGCCGTTAGCTCTTAGCACTCAGAGCTCACAGCTCCTCATATCTGTTCAGAAACTAGACAAAAGTTAAACAAGTACAAACCACAGACTGCCTGTGTCATGGAGAATACAGTCGCTGGTTTGTTTATGTCTGTATAGGCCGTTGTTGTGAGTGTGGACGGTCGGAGCATATATAACGTTAGCTTAGCCAAGCTACATTTAGAAAACACGTATTTTAAAAGGTTTTTCGCCTGCCGTCTGTCTGCAGACTTGTCAAAGCATTAATTCATGGTTTTTACTAACCGGTATCAGTATGTTGTTACTTCGGCATCATTTTGAAACGTGTATTACAATTAAATCACGGTCAAATATGTTCATCTTGTTGTAGTTGTAGCCCCCTTGCCAGCGATTCTCTCTCTAGTTTAGCATACTCAGCCCGACTCAGCCTGGTTGTTCCTGGCCCTAGAACCACGATTTTATGGGGCCAGAAAAACTGTGAATTAGGACCTGCTAGCCGGTACTAGGTCAAGTGGAAACGCAACCAAAAACGGGCCCCGCACGGCTCGGCACGCAAGCGAGCTACCCACTGCAGTGGAAACGCGCCATAGCCAGTCAAATGAGCACTTAAATATCTGCAGGACCAACCCAGTCTCACGGCATTTCGTGTTCACCAACACGATTTTTAATCTATTGATTCGTGTTCACCAACACGATTTTAAAAGCAATGTATTTCTACTGCCTGCAGCACGTCTTTTTCTCCGGTCGGGTCGTGGGAGACCGGAAGCTGTGTGGTTCATAAAAACATGTTCTTACTCAATATCAAGCCACAGTTATTGCTTTTATTTTAAATCGTATAATTTCGGACTTTTGTTGCCGTCTGTGAGGAAAATAAATGGGGCTCAGAGCCTCAGGATACGGAAATCTGTATTTTTAAATATTTTTTTCCTTCTAATTCGTTATTCTTTTCAAAATAACACACTGTTATTTACTCACCAATAACACACAATTATCCTTGCTTTTATTTATTGGTTTAATTCCATAATATCGGGCTTTTTTGGCGTCCGTCAGGAACTGAATTTCAAAATAAAAATAACCGGAAACAGACGTAGGCCTATAAGGGACATTTCGAGCATCATTGTGATTGTCAACATTTCTGAGTTTAGGATGGCCGAAGACACTACACTACCCATAATCCCCAGCTATCGTTTAGGACTACAGTCCCCGTAAGGTTACGCAGAGCGTCAAACAGCTGTGTGAAATGGAACGAAACCACGCCAGACTATCCAAAACTGGAATCGAACGCCCCCCCAGAACTACACATGCTGGCTATTGTGTTTCGCAAAATGTTCTATGGGACGTCTCTACTGAACGTTTTCGTTTTTCCCACAATTAGAAGTTGTCAGTATTAAACACATTGGTGTTATCAAATGTAAAACATATAATTAATAAATGGGTGAAAATCGCTTGTGTCCATAATGCACAGCATTAATACCCACATGACAGCTCATTGATACTTTGTAATTCTACTCCACTACAATTCAGAGGTTAACCTGGTATTTTTACTCCACTGCATTTATTTGAGTTACTTTGCAGATTCTGATTAATGATGTGAAATATAAACAACCCTTAAATCAGACTTTAGTTACACCTGAGTAAAATTCAGGTAGGGTGATTGTCAAGTGCCAACAATCAGGAGAGATATTTGATAGTTGGTGCTTGAGAAGACTAAACATGTATCTGCAATTGACATGAATGGAAACGAGTAATAAAGTATATTAATTACTCGTTATTCTCTACTAATAGTTAATTAAAGACTGTATATTATGGCTATTTTGCACATCCCTTTCAAGATTTTCAAAGGTTTATTGACATATCATATACACAACTACGGTGTAGTTATGCAATCAACAGTTTATTACAAGACATCTATCAATATGTGTGTCCCTCCACCATTAAACTGTCATATTCTGCACATTTCTTATTCTATCTACATAAGAGTATAATCCATATGTATAATATCAGTTAAAATAAGTGCTTCAACATAGTTAACATTGCAGGAAAGCAATATATTAGACGTTAAGTACTTTGTCAGGCTTAATATTTATCTGTAGATAGATACCCCCAACGTTTTTTTCTTATTTAAAAGAAGACCTTAATCTAAAGTATTATTTAATGTTTAAATAAAGGTTAATTCGTTTTTCTGTTTTGCACCTCCTCCTATTAATATCTTTGTACATTCTGCACTAAACTGTTTTATTGTAGAGATCACTTAGAGTATCTTCTTGATTTTTTATATTCTATATTTATACTTTCCTCCTATGAAAGTATGTACTCTTAATATTTTTTTAATCAAATAAAACACAATAATTCAATAACGTGCTTTAACCACTAGGCGGTGCACACAAGGTACACACAGCCATAATAACTTTGTATTATAAATGTAGGACACTTATGTTTTCGTACAACATCTGAAGATGTGTAGTTTTATGCATGCTTTCACATAATTTTACAGCATATTGCTATACTATTTCAGACTCAGTATTTACATTCTTACATTCAAAGAAAATCAGTAATATCTTTAAAAACTACAAGTCCTTTTATATCAGCTGTGCACCGTTATGGTGTGAATATAATCTGTGAATTAGATCAAATGTAAAAGTCAGCCGAATTAGTGTTGATACTGCACGGAGACGTATTGTGTGAAGAGAAATTGAAGATGTTGTTTAATTGTTGAATATATTTATGATCCACGTCAAGTATTCAGTTTCGGCGGCATTTTCTCAGTTTTTCCAAAGGTCTTCTCATCAGGGCTCTATAAATAAAGAACTACGGCAGATCGGTAATATACAATGCAGCCGAACCGTGTATTACAATGCCGTTATGTGATGACTTTCAAAGAGAAAAGCAAGAGCGCTCGGAAATTAAGTATTATTTTAAAATGTTTTCCGGATTTCATATCATATAAACACCAAATCCCAGCATGCATTGCGGCTAAACCATCCAATAAGCGAGCTTAAAACCATAGCTGAGGATCTTGGGTAATCGCTCGAAATGCCTACGTCTGTTTCCGGTTATTTTTATTTTGAAATTCAGTTCCTGACGGACGCCAAAAAAGCCAGAGATTATGGAATTAAACCAATAAATAAAAGCAAGGATAATTGTGTGTTATTGGTGAGTAAATAACAGTGTGTTATTTTGAAAAGAATAACAAATTAGAAGGAAAATAAGATTTAAAAAATACAGATTTCAGAATCCTGAGGCTCTGAGCCATTTATTTTCCTCACAGACGACAAAAAAAGTCCGAAATTATACGATTTCAAATAAAAGCAATAACTGTGGCTTGATATTGAGTAAGAACATGTTTTTATGAACCACACAGCTTCCGGTCTTCCTCGACCCGACCGGAGAAAAAGACGTGCTGCAGGCAGTAGAAATACATTGCTTTTAAAATCGTGCTGTGCAACACGAAAAAAAAGGGGCAAATCGTGTTGGTGAACACGAATCAATAGATTAAAAATCGTGTTGGTGAACACGAAATGCCGTGAGACTGGGTTGGCAGGACACATAGGCGGTCACATCATTAAAGGAAATATTAACAGTATTTAGTAGAGCAAAAAAAACGTAGTGGCAGAAACGTAATTTCACGTTATCATAGCATATTATTAATAATAATAATAATATTGCACATGAATGAATGATTTCCCAAAGTTGTAACATTTCCCAACAATTCAAAGGAGCACATGAACGCACCATGAGTCAAAACAAATAGTAACGCATTATTTTAAAGTGTGTTGTTTGTTAAAGGATACAGGTGATAGGAGTCTGGAACTCCTCCAAGCAAACGCTGCAGGATA